TAGTACTCTTCAGTCACAGATGCTGAAGCGAAAGAAAACGAAAACGATGATTTTCTTCTTGGACTTAGACTTGGCGAGTGTGGCCCTATGATGTTACCATTCTGCCCTCTTTTATGGTGTCTTGAGATATGGTTTGCCATTTTGTTCATAAATCCAGAGATAGTAAGACTAGCTGAAATCTAAGTCCAGCAGTGTAATGTCCTGACGATGGGGGAGCGATAGTTCATGCTGGTTCCATTAGTTGATGTAGTAAGTGTATTGCACCGACCAATTTTCATCATGTTTCCCATGCGTAGATTATATGAAGCGTGTCCATATCAATAGCGATTTCCGTAGGAATTGGCTGGTGCGCCGTAAACTGGCACATCACTCTATCAGTCGCGTGCCATCAACAATCGCTTGGTGCAATAACGCGTCATGGCACACCATAAGTGATACCCCTAAAAAAATCACGTCGATAATACGCGGTTGATCTCCTCGTCAACATACGGAAGCTAAGAGAACTGTAAATATTAAATATCAATGTTAGTATATATAAAGTTAAAAAGATTCAAAAAATAATTAAAATTACGTATGCCATATCGCGAATCGATTGGCGATGTCGATCTTCATCTGTATTTCTCGTGCATCAACACCAGCCAACTTCATCTCCGTTATTTTATATCGTCATCTAATATATTTAAAAATAAAAAAATATTATAAACAAATAATAAATAAATAAATAATTTTTTAGATTAAAAAAAGGTTAAATAAATAAAGTTAAACAATTATCTTGCAGTCAGCGAAAACTCGACCGGGGTGTTTGTAATTGGCGTAAAAAATGGCAAGCAATATCAGGCCCAATACTATAGCAGTAACAGACAGCCTGCTACATTGGTTTTTCAACCACGCTGGGCAGTTGCAGCCTTGCAAAGCTCCCAATAAAGAAATGCTAAAATCTTCAAGCCCCAACTGATATTTTGGCATATAACGAAGTTGTCCAAATATCATAGAAACTGGGTGTGCACCAAATTATCAGATTTGTCCAGTAATAATATCCTTTCGATCACTATGAGAAGAAATGCTTAGGATGCGAAAATAACCTCTACCTCAGTAAACTCGTCTGTGACTTGGAAATCGGACTCCAACCACGTTATCATTATCCAATAGCCCCTCATGAAGTCAGATGGTGGCCATCTTCCCGAGACTTGGTAAACCAACGCCACAGGGTTGTAAATGTTTTGGCTCACCACGGGGGGTCTCACCGGAACACCAAGTTGGTAAGCGATGTCTTCCAGAGTAATCATCGTTTCACCACTTAGGAAGTAGAACGTGTGTGTCTCAGGGTGTCAACGTTCGATCAGAGCCTCAATCAATGTCGAGTACACCTTACAACCACGTAAAAATATGGCGGAAAATAGATCAGATTGATGCAGATATACCATCATCTGCTGACACGGCTCTCTGGTTGTCATTCCCCAACTCCGAATACTTCATTCGTCGTCTGACCCGCATTGGATCGACGAAACATTGACATTATCCAGATGCAACATATATTCTCGGGTTGCCATTTTTCAAGATTTTCGCACAACGTTTATTTTTTTTAGATTCATGGTTTGGTGAAATACCAAAATCCCAAACCCTTATTTATAACCTTACCCCCAACAACTATAAACAAATAGTTTTTCAAACGAATAGTTTTTTAAGGTAACGAGTTCCATTGACCGTTGCTGCCCCTCTACCCGATGAACAACGACTAGCCAACAACTTTTTTTTTGAATTCAAACCATCGAATTTTGTTTATTTTATAAAATTTTATTTCTTTTAAAATTTTAAAAAATATATATATTTTTAATGGACTCGTCACCTTGACGTGGTGAGTCATTATAATCCCAATTAAATAATGGCCCACGTAGGACCCACTACGCAGGGACCATTAAAAATATAATCCGAGGGAACTCGTCCAGTCATACAGTAGCAAATGTCATAGTTTGCTAAATAAAATTTGGGTTGGCAAAATACCCTAAATTTTTTACCTGCATAGGGTATTAGGCAAAAAAAAAATCAACATTCATGGTGATAAGAAGTTCAAGCCCAATGTTTAATACTAAATTATACTTATCATTAAATTTTTTTATATAATTATTGATTTTCAATTCATTAATCAATTAAAACCATAATCATTATCAGCATCACTCAAAGTATAAAGCTATAATATTATGTTATAAATTTATAATCTACTCTCTAGAAAAAGAATGTCCCTTTCTTCTAGAAAGGGGATCAAAGAAAATATATAATCATTGATTATTATTTATTATCCATGCACTTTGGCTTTAATGATGGAATCATCATCCTGTACTTTTATATTGATGAAGGATAGAATCGTCATAATCTTAAATATTTAACCAAGAGCCAAAGGCCAAGTATTGGTACAAGTGTCTAAGTAGTCCCTCTACTATCATATAGTGAGGAAATAATTCTCTCTTCATCCATGTACTTTTTAAAGTAGAAGTAAATTAATAAAGTTGACACTAATGTGTGCACAATGATTTGTATTTGAAATCTAATTCACATAAAAATATTATTATTTGATTATATCTGAATCACCATTTGTTAATGCATGGAGTGATTATAAGATAATATATGTTCAAAATAAATAAACGTATTAACAATGTAAACATAAACCCTACAAATATAAATATTTAAATTTGAATCCTCTAAAAATAACAACATTCCCTTTATAAAAGGCCAATTAATAATTTCTTGAAAATAATATTTTTATTTTTAATATTAGATGACTTATGAATTAAAATGTATAAAACTTTGCTCATCTAACAAACTACATATGGTATAAAAAAAGAATATAAAAACTTTAGGATAAATTACATGGATGGTCAATTATGAGAGTATTCTAATCTTAATATCGATCTTTTACTTTTATTAATCAAATCACTTAATTATTTAAACGATGTCAATCAAGTCACCCATCGTTAAGATTTGATAGATGAGTTAATGTGACAGTTAGAAAAATTAGTATAAGTACATATTTGATCATCATTATTTACGCATGGTATAATTATAAATGTAATTTAATTTAATAATTTAATCTACAAATAAGATGAAGATACATGTCATTACCGACAATTGTCACTAGTTTGTGTTAATTTTTAGCTTGGATTAATTTTGGATTAGACCAATTTCTTATACTGACTACTCTTTTGATTCAATCCGATCAAATTTTTGAACTCGTATAAAATTGATAGGCATATCTTCATATTAACGGTAAGCTACATGTTTAGTACCACAGTTGTCACTTTTGTCATGTTTTGGACATCCAACTATTTTTTTATTTCAAAATCATAACTGATGTTACATTTTGATTTCATTTTGGCCACCCGTTGCTAAAAAATTAACAGGACTATTAACATGACATTATTAAAAAATTTCAATGACAATATGACATTATCTTATGATGACATGCCAGCATTATTGTTAATTTTTTAACGATGAATTACCAAAATAAAACAAAAATATAACATTAGATATGGTTTAAAAACAAAAATAATTAGATTAACAATACAAAAGGGTAAATTACATCATTCATCACTGAATTTTACTCTCTTTTCTATTTTACTCATTAAACTTTCAATTTTTTTAATTTTCTTACTGAATTTTATAGATTAGATTTTTTGTCACTCCACCATTAAATAATTAACGACATTATGGCATGGTAACCAATATTAAAACGACATAGTTTTGAATCTATATAAAAATTATGTTTAGATCAAAACGATATAGTTTTGGTCGAAATAAAAAATATATACTTTTTTCTTTTTTTATTTTCTCCTACCAACTCCCTCCTTTCTTCTTCTTCTCTCTCCCATTCCTCTCTATCCTCACTGGCTCGAATGGCTTCTGCAAACACTTTTAGAGATTATTTGAATTGTTTACGCTAGCAATGCCCCCATTGGTGTCTTGGGCATTATTTTCTCCTCCTCCTTTTTGCTGGTGAGTCTGAATACTCACTTATAGCAGAATCTAAGCTACCACACATCTCTAAAACATAAAAAGAATGTATGGAACCATTACTAGCGGTAAAGAGTGAATGGTCAGAGATTAGTGAGATTGAGACCAAGAGAGTTGGGGTTTGTGAATCAAGATTGGGAATGTTGATGATGATTGGTCTGGGATTTGAAAACTTGAGATTAGGGTTTAAAAATAAAATTTAATATTTTTTGTCATTTTAAATATTAAGTGTTATAACTAAATATTAATAAAAAAAATATATGTCATCACTATATATTAATAAAACAATTCATATTATTTTATCGTTAGTGAAAAATAGATGAGTGATCAAACTAATCTAATATATAAAATTCAGTGAGTAAATTAAAAAAATTTAAAACATAATAAAAAAATATGAGAAAAAGTAAAATTTACTAGAGAACAATATAATTTATCTAAATAAAAATAATAGTTGAAATACTAAATCTATCTTTTACGCTAAAATTTAATATTATAATATATATAAAAAATTATTAGATGTACTTAGCTCACGACGTCATATGTGGTTTCAATCAATAATTTTTTTATTTTATTTTTTCAAGTTAAATTTTCACCTTTTTTTAATTGTAAATAAAGAGTAAATAATTATATAAAAAATATTTTAAAATTAATAAATGTGATTTATTAATATTATAAATGACGCGATAAATCTAATCTAAAATAATTTATTGTGGATATAGATATGAATATGTATATGGATATTGATTTGGATTTGGAATCAAATCTTAAAACGTGTACTAACACGTGTTCCCTCACTACACGTTGAGGTAATTAATGCATATTAAAAAATGGAAAATACAGACAAGGACAAGAGATATACATTCGAGTCAAACTGAGACAAAAAACACTGTCTTTCAAAACCAGCAAATCAGACGACCCAAAAGCAGCCAAAATCAAACAGAACACACTCACTCGCCTTCTATAAAAATCCACTGCACATTCTCCACAACTCACCATCAAAATTTCAACTTCGTTCAGAAAATTTTCCTTTCATCAACTGTTCAATTTCCAGAAAAGCTCGGGCTAGGTTCAATGGCGGATGATGATCAAGCTGTGGCCAAGGACCGGAAGATCCTGGTGGCCGTGGATGAAGGCGAAGAGAGCATGTACGCTCTCTCATGGTGCCTCAAGAACTTGGCGCCTCGGAGTTCAAAAGATACACTTATCCTCCTTTACGCTAAACCACCGCGAACGGTGTCTTCTTCCCTAGATGGCACTGGTAATTTTTTCCTTAAATGTTTAGGTTTCAGGGTTTTTTTATATCGGTTTACAAACTTTGTTGTGGTTTTCGTCTCAGGGTATATGTTTTCTGCTGATATACTGGCCACCATGGATAAATACAGCGACGATGTGGCGGCTTGTATCATCGAGAAGGCCAAAAGGATATGCAGAGAGCAAGCTGATTATGAGGTGAGTTTCTGGTATTTCTTAAACCAAAAAAACCCTTCTTTCAGGGATAAAAATGGTTAGTTTTGAGAGTTGAATGGCCTTTTGGGTAATTAGGTGAAGGTAGAGGTGAAGATAGAGAGTGGTGATCCAAGGGACGTGATTTGCCAAGTTGCTCAGAAGATCGATGCTGATGTGCTTGTTATGGGAACCCATGGATATGGCCTCATCAAGAGGTGGGCAGTAGTCCTTATCCACCTTGGTCTAGTTATGGTTTCGTCCTTGTTAAACTTGGTAAATTTATGGTTTTTGTCCCTGTAATTTATGGTTTTTGAACGACTTTTTTTTGGCGAATGTTTGATGACAGGGCTTTCTTGGGGAGTGTGAGCAATCATTGTGCGCAAAATGTGAATTGCCCTGTTTTGATTGTGAAGAAGCCTAAAGGCTCATCTTCTGCATGTGGAACCAAATGAATTGGGTCCCAAATCACCTTTTTCTCGCTTCATTAGTACAACTTTATATTGTATGTTTCGGTGTTGTCTTCTCTTCTCTTGGTTATGTTATCCGAATGTAGAAAAAAAGAATCAGAGCTTGATTATCCGAACAAAACATCAATTTCTCCGTGTTGAAACTCAGCAGAATTATTTAGGAGCATAAATGAGTTGAGCTCGAACGAATAAGATTATGTTTGTATCTCTTTGTTTATTTTTAAAGGTGTTTATGTTCGGCTCGTGTTTTTATAAACTTTTAATATCATGTTTGTATTCTTTTATTTATTTTTGAAGGTATTAATGAACATATTCATTTAACATTTGAGAATATGTTCGTTTGATGTTTATAAACGTATTCGTTTATATATTCAAAAAATAAATAAAATCAAGTAAATAAATCTTATATAAACATCCACATAATAATAAAATACAATCTTTAAGTTTTAAATTTTATTATGTGTTCATTTTAATTCATACATCTATTAAAAGAATAAAAACTAAATGAGCTTTTTGACTGATGAATATAAACGAATAAATCGATAAATGAGTTTATAAACGAATTTATTTATAACATAATTGAACCGAGTATTTTTGTATTCTTTTTGTTTATAAAATAAATATAAAAAATTTTGTTTGAATTTATCTATTTGATATGTTAAATAAATATAAATAAACGTTATATGAACAGTTTATTGAAAACTCTATTCATTTACACTTTAGAATTATTGAGAAAAAAGAAGTTTAAGAGAGGTAAATAAAGTTATAACAACTCAAATTTTAAATGAAATCGAATCTAAAACTCTTAGGCCCTTACATTTTTAGTTTACATATTTATGAATGCAATAACCCATTAAAGAATTCGAACCTTTATTCTTTTTTTAAAATCATATATAATATTTAATTTAGATTTCAATTTGATACTTTTCGTTAAAAAATTAATAGAATTATTGATGTGATATTTTTTATATTTCTCAATAATTATATGACATTATCTTACGGTAACAAATAAACATCACTTTTAAGATTTTAAAAACGAAGTACTAAAATGAAAATTAAACTTAAACAAATGTTATGTGTGATTTTTAAAATTATATATATATATATAATTTATTTATTAAAATAGAACAAAAAATAACAGTTTATATAGTAGGGTTGTAATTTACCCTTTTGCATGTGGGGCAAGATTAGGAGCCATAGCTGTTGTATTGCTATTATAACGCTAGACCGAGAGTTTTATAGATATCTAATTTTCTCTATGTCCAAGAAAATAAATTTTCAGAGGTTAAATAATTAATGTGAGTATTTGAATTTGAATCTAGTAAAAAGAGATCAGTTTGAATCGAATATAATCCAATTTACAATTTGAATAAGGACTAAAATATACTACAAAAGAGTTTGATAACTAAAGTATAAAGTTAAAAAGTAGGAATAGTAGAGTGCAAACAAGGAAAAATGGGAGGGCACTTCTTATAGAGTTTAGAGTTTCACTTGTACAATTTAGTGCAAACACGTGAAACTCTAAACTTGATTCCATTTAATGATTTATAATAACTCTAGGATTTATATTAAATACAACAACAAATGATCTTTGACACGCGTCATTATGATGTCGAAATAAATAGCTTTAATCCCAATAAAATGAATAAGAATAAGTAGAATAGTAAGAGTAAGGGTCGATCCACAGAGATTAGGAGTTTGACGATTTCCTTGCTTTTTATCTAGTTTCATACGTGATTTGTAAAAGAAATTAGAGTGGAGATTTTTTAGAATTAAAGCGAAGTAATAATTTTATTACAGTCTATAGGGCTCAACCCCTATAATTTGTTTTTCTCTCAAATGAATCGAGATTCTAAAATCAATTTTCAGATCTCGACTCTTTGTGAGTTAATAGCGACAATCACTTATTAATTCAACATCTTTAAATTCTAGAAAAAACCCGACTTGGATTCTATTATCTCAATTGAGAATTTAACCCGATTTTAGTTTCCCTTAGCGAACCGTCGCTAAGTGTGTTCACAGGAAGTCGAATGTACCACAACCCGATACTTTCTTCCATCTATTAATCGAAATCGAAATCCAATTCCAACGTGTACTTTTTGAAATAAAATCACCTTGATTATAAAAGGACGATCGATTACCGATGCCAAGAATAGGATGCCAAAAATAGGATGCCACATTAGTAATGGTTCGATATCAATAGGAGTAGAATTTACCTTGGGTTGTTCAGTTTGTTCGAGTAGTGTTGCATGTGTTGAATGAGCAACATCCGACATTGATTGCGAATGTGTCGTAGATGGCATCGAATAAAATATCAGAGTGGATGAAGAGGACGGTCAATTTTTGCGTGATTCAGATGGAACAACAGAACCTTGCGGTGGCACCATAAAATCGGATGAATGATGAGCGGATGATGATGACATTGGCTCGGGTGTGGACGAGTGAGGGTGCGGCTGTCGCGCATGTCTCCCTCCATGTCGAGCGGCTGATTGAGGAATGGGAGCAGGCTGTGGCAGCGAGTAAGAACTTCTCGAAATATCGATCACTGGAGAAGTAGTGAAACGACATCGGCCACCACTGAGATTAATCGGTGGGCGAGATGGATTGCCCAAATGGTTTCTTGTTATCACCACGTTTCTTGATCAACAAAATAAGAAAAGAAACAATAATAGTGGAACTACATATTCGACGGTAATGGAACGGTGAGTACACAATGGTGCAAGACTAACGGCGGTGAGGCGAGGCGACGTCAATGGTGTTTGATGGTTGTAAGGTTTCGACCGATTAATAAAAGAATGGGGAAATACTAATTTTTTATGGTTAACGTGAGGTAGGGTATGAGTTTTAATTTGGTGAAGTGTTTTGGTTGGTAAGGGAATTTAATTTTGAAATTTGAGGTGATTAGGGAGGTTGATTATCAATTCAAAAAGAATTGACTTTGATTGGGGAGATGATCGACCAAAAATTACAAAAGAATGAGGCCAAAAGGTGATGGAATGTTGGCGGCAAAGGAAATAAATTTGTGGGTTTGAGGTTGCCGTGTGATACCTACTTCAAATCTGGCCGAAATTCTACTTCAAATTGGCCTTAAATTCGGCCAACTCCTTCGTCAATTGAAACAATTTTCCGCCTTGCTTTGTCTGCAGTTGAATTAAAATGCTCGGGTTACCTACAAAATTCAAATCAAGAAATAAAAATGTAAAGAGAAAATCGCCTCAGTGACCAAAAAAAAGTTATAATATACGATTTTAACCAACTTTTTTTGGATTTGCCAAAATGACCAACAAAATCGCAACGCGAAATAAAAATCGCAACGCGATCCCCAGAATCGCAAATCAGTGTCCAAAATCGCAACGCGATTCTTGAAAATCGCAATGCGATAGTCAAATTCGCATTGCGATTTTCCAAAATCGCAACGCGAATATGAAAATCGCAACGCGAACACATAAATCGCAATGCGTATCCGTAAATCGCAACGTGTATCCGTAAATCGCAACGCGTTTCCGTATATCGCAACGCGTATCCGTAAATCGCAACGATAATCCGTAAATCGCAACGAGAATCTGTAAATCGCAACGATAATCCGTAAATCGCAACGAGAATCTGTAAATCACAACACTGAAATTTTGGGTATATAACACTGAAATCATAAACTAAATCCCTAAATCGCAACTCATTCCATCTCCATCTATCACTCTCTCCGGCGACATCCGTTCCTATATCCAACGACATCCTTCCCAATCCGGCAACAGGTTTTAGTTTCGCATCTCGTCTGTTTAGTAAATTAATTTACAACCATGAAATCATCTAATGTTGATCATGTTTGGATAGATTTGTGTTTTGGAGGGTCATGGGATAATGTTCATGGTGTTTTACAATATATGCCTTTACCCATGAATCTTCAACTAAAATTGTCTTTACAAAAGTTAACTTATGAAACTCTAATGCTACGTGTTTCAAATAAATTGAATTTAGAGCCCTAAGTGGATTTAGGCTATCTTATCAGAGAAATGGTAAAGTTTATTTGTTAACGACAATGAAGATGTTGAACGATTCATTGCTTACATTAGGGTTTCACAAGATGATGTTACATTGTATGTTGTTGAACCTAGAAGTAGTATTGTTGGGTCAGTAGCGGGTAGTAATCAACTAAGTTTTTCTCAAAACCCACAACCTTTCTAATCCAAATCCCAATCAACTTTCAGCACCAAATTCCGGTTTTCGTATTGACCAGTTAGACGATGATGAGCCAACAGAAAAAATTGTGAGTACTAGCCAGTATTCGAAATTTGGTCTTGGTCAATATCCGGACTTTGATATTGGTCAATACACGGATTTTGATGATGTTTCAGAAGAAGAAACAGACCATGCGTGTAATGATATTGATATTGGTCAATACCCGAATTTGATGATGAAACAGCCGTTGCCGAAGAATGTAATGTTGATGATAATGAGGAGGAAGTTACGACTGTGAATGAACATGTTGAACATCCATTCTGTAATTCATATAATCCTGAAGAAGAAAAAGAAGAAGAAAAAGTCCCCGAAGAAAAGAAAATGCCACGGGCGTATAACTGGAATATGCCAGAATTACTTTAGATACCGGAAGAAGAGTTGATAAAGAAAGCAGTTGATTGTTACACAAAAGTTATTCGTATCAAGAAAGATGATTGTTTTGATACAAAGGAAGACTTGAAGATAGCTTTATATACGAAATGTGTGGAAGATGGCTATCAACTAAAAGTTAACAAATCAAGCAAAGATCGTTTCGAAACAAGGTGTATGATTGACAAAAACTGTACGTGGCGTATAATTGCAAAGAGAATAAAAGATTGCAAAATGTTTCAAGTTAGGACTTTTATTGATAAACATACATGTTCAAGAACCCAAGTTTTTCCTCACCATAGACAGGCAAACAAAAAGGTGTTGGGTGGTTTTGGCTGAGTTAATGTTTTTGAATGGCAGGGTATATCGGGGACATGAAATTATGACTGACATGAATGCTCGGTTCAAGATTAGTATATCATATTCTCAAGCTTGGAGAGCCAATGTTATGCCTGGAATTGTTGAGGGGGTCGCCAGAAGCATCGTTTGCCCAACTGCCGGCTTATTGTCACAATTTAAAGCTGAAAAATCCTGGGTCGGTAACTCATATCAAAACAGAGAGATGGACGCTTTGAGTTGCTGTTATCGCCATTGGTGCTACGGTTAGTAAATCAATATAATTTTGTTGACTCATTTTGTTAGTTACATGCATTTCACATTTAAATGATTATATTTTGTGTATATTATTTTGTAGATTCGTTCGTTATTACTTGCATGCGCCCAGTTATTATAGTTGACGGAGCACATTTGAAAGGTCGATACCTTGGAGTAAACTTATTAGCAGTAGCCATGGATGCTAACAATGGGATATTGCCAATAGCTTACGGGGTTGGCAAATCTGAAACCTCTGATTCATGGACATGGTTTATGGGGCATCTTAGGGATTGCATAGGTCCTATTAGCAATCTGACAATCATATCCGATAGGGCAAACTCAATTGACAACGCTGTTAGAAGGTGTTTCCCAGATGCTTTTCATGGACTTTGTGGTGTTCATTTGTATAGAAATCTAAAATCAAGGTCTGTTGGTATAAAAAGCACAAATGGACATACTGGAAGGCTGTAAAAGCTTATCGGGAAGTGGATTTCAATAAGCATATAAATTGTTTAAGACATGTTTTGCCTCAGTGTGCTCAAACATTAGAAGATGTCGGGTTTGAAAGATGGTCAAGAGTACATCAACTTGGAGCAAGATATGGTTTCATGACGTCTAATAGTGCAGAATCAATCAACGCTCTAAGTCGTCATTCCCGGAAATTACCCATTACTATGTTAATGGAGTTTTTTCGAGCCTCTATTCAACAGTGGTACTACAAGAAAAGAAACCATGCAGGTATTTCTTTGAATTCGTAACTTATCATATTTATATTTTACTAAGTATTGTTTATTTAAATTTACAGGAACATTGGAACATCGTGTTACACCATGGACTGAAAAAAAGATAACGAAACGTGTTGTGAAGTCAACGTCATGGAGAGTTGAACCATGTTCAAACACTTTGTTTCAAGTACTGGATAATAACTTAAATGGGCTAGTCGATCTAAATGCAAAGACGTGTAGTTGTATGAAATGGCAAACATCTGGTTATCCGTGTGGCCATGTTATAAAAGTTGCTCTTCATTTAAACCAAGATGATTCAAGCGCATACGCTATGGATTGCTACACTACAGAAGTTTATCGACAAACTTATGCCGAGATTGTCTACCCTATTCCACATCCTTCTGAGTGGGACATACCAGATGACTTACAAACAGTTTTGCCACCAGCCATGGACAGAAGGCTACCTGGCCGACCAAAAAGTCACGATCGTATACCGTCTAAGGGTGAAGAGAAGAAGAGATCGACATGTAGTCGGTGCAAGGAAAGTGGTCATACAAGGTTGACATGTGGATCACCAGTGCCATCAAAATCATCTTTTCCTCTACCAAAATATGGATCCTCATCAAAATCCAAAGCTCATATGGTGTCAAGCAAAAGGCAATCATCTTTAAATCCCAATCACAATTGGCTTCACCTTTTGAGACTGTTAACTTAGGTGATTTTTAAATGCAAACGTTGTATTATGTGGATTTTATGTGTGAACTTTTAACATTTTCAGTTGAATTAATGACTCAGGCCAACCATTTTGACTTAACCAACTCTTGTTATTCAGTTGTTATCACTATTAGGCATGCATTTGACTATCGCAACACGGAAATTACAATCGCAACGCGAAATGAAAATCCCAACATGAAAATCGCAATGCGGAAATGAAAATCGCAACGAGAGAATCGCAATGCGAAATGAAAATCGCAATGCGAAATGAAAATCGCAACGAGAGAATCGCAATGCGAAATGAAAATCGCAATGCGAAATGAAAATCGCAATGCGAAATGAAAATCGCAACGAAAGAATCGCAATGCGAAATGAAAATCGCAACGAGAGAATCGCAATGTGAAATTATAAACGCATTGCGATTTTCTTTCCGCATTGCGATTTTCATTTCGCATTGCGATTCTCTCGTTGCGATTTTCATTTCGCATTGCGATAGTCATTTTTGCCTTCAACATAATGCAGATTGAAATCAACAAAATCAACCATTACATTTCAATCAATTAAACAAGCACAAATAAGAATTATGTTCGCATCAATTACACAAATCAACTTTTACAAATCATCTTTTACAAATCAATTAAATAAGCAATAATTCTTATTTCCGATCATCTACTATTGAATCAACTTTTACAAATCAATTAAACAATCAAAAAACAATCAATTAAACTATTGAATCAACTTTTGCAGCTCGACATCATTTTCACGCAGTTCACTTCTGAGATTAACCTGCAGAAACCAAACATTTGTTCAAACAACACTTTCTACACATCTAAACCTACAAACAGCAAATTATTGAATTCTAGTTACTTAACCAAACATTTTCAAACCAAAAGTATATAAACTTACCAATTGTTTATGGACATTTTTATAACGCGGATGCAGGTAGGCAGCGTCTCGTATATATCGATTAGCCATATAATGCCGAAACCACAAGCCTACTGCAGCTTTATCTCTATCGGTGGGAGGTAGATACTTGATGCTTCCCGTCGTCAAACGCTCCAACGCCAAGCATACGAGAGGACCACAATCTCCTCTGGCTCCGCTCGTTTGTTGTGGCGCGGTCTCGTCTCTAATAACTGTAATATTGAGCTTCTTTGGCTTCTTGTTTCCAGAACGAGTCCAATAATTGATCGCATCCAAGAATTTAGCCAAATGAGAGCTCCATCCCTTAATAACATCTCTTAAATCAGCCAATGATATGTAATTTATCATGCTGTCATACACTATTGTCTTAAGGGATGGGAGCTGAAGCTCGACGAGAATCCAATGTTTACGTTCCAAAACAGGGATAAACACCTGCAATCATAAGTATAATTCATTCATTTGCGCACTTATTCATAAAACCTTTAAACTCAATCTAAAATAAATACTAACCTTATCGACCTCCCACCATGCAGGATAAAGTTTAGCTTGTCCATTGCCCAAATCAAATGATTCATCTCGTGCATTCTTCAAGTGAACGGCGTGAAAA